AGATAGATAGATAGATAGATAGATAGATAGATAGATAGATAGATAGATAGATAGATTAGATAGATTAGATAGATAGATAGATAGATAGGAATAGATAGATAGATAGATAGATAGATAGATAGATAGATAGATAGATAGATAGATAGATAGATAGATAGATAGATAGATAGATAGATAGATAGATAGATAGATAGATAGATAGATAGATAGATAGATAGATAGATAGATAGATAGATAGATAGATAGATAGATAGACAGATAGACAGATAGACAGATAGATAGATAGACAGATAGATGAGATAGATTGGAGATAGATAGATAGATAGATAGATAGATAGATAGATAGATAGATAGATAATAGATAAGATAGATAGGATAGATAGATAGATAGATAGATAGATAGATAGATAGATAGATAGATAGATAGATAGATAGATAGATAGATAGATAGATAGATAGATAGATAGATAGATAGATAGATAGATAGATAGATAGATAGATAGATAGATAGATAGATAGATAGATAGATAGATAGATAGATGAATGCATGGACAGACACAAACAGATCTAGAGATGTAGTGTAGAACAGAAAGAGACACACACTGAAGTGTTTGTGACAACTAATTAGAACAGAACAAGACACACACTGAAGTGTTTGTGACAACTAATTAGAACAGAACAAGACACACACTGAAGTGTTTGTGACAACTAATTAGAACGGAACAAGACACACACTGAAGTGTTTGTGACAACTAATTAGAACGGAAGATCGTTATTTATTTAAACTATTTCTATAGCAAAGGTCTGAGGGCCTTTCTCAATATTCTCAGCAGAGGTCAAAGGTCGATAGTGTCCCTGATTTGTTTGCTGTGTTTGTATGGGGAAGCTCTGAAGCACTCGCTTTCAGAAGAATAGAGATTTAGCGCCCCTGCTGTAGAAGGCCGAGAGATGTGATAGTGAATGGGGAAAAATACAATTTTCCAGTTTAAATGGGGTGTTGAGTGTACACTAGAGTGTAGAGGGGAGGAACTTGAATGTTTACTAAAATTGTTCCAGAGGCCTACGAGTGTTAATGAGTATCGTGCATGATGACAGTTTGCTTGGATGTTTACCCAAATGTATTTAAGAATGAAGGAAGAGACGAACCAGGCTGAGAAAGACACGGACGCTGCAGATTGGGCGAGCTTCGACCAGAATAGCTGGGTAAATATTGGATGGGTTTGTGGTGAAGAAAAGAGTAAGTCGTGGCTGCATTATCTCTCTCAATCCACGTTTAACACATATGCAGACGACACAGTTATTCTTTGGAAATGTGTACAGGGTTTAGAAACCTAATGTTGACAGTCAAGACTCACAGAGCAGAAGAGTATCTTCTTCAAAATTTGAACAAAACCAAAATAGTGCACACAATGAATATCGAACACCTACAACGTACTGATAACAAAGAGATAGATTAATGCTCAGTTTTTAATTTTTTCGGCTCAGTTTTGAACAATAGTCGGCATCGGTGACTTAGGCTTTGCACAGGCGCTTTGTAATGCCGACGTGCCGGGTTCGATCCCAGCTGCAGGCCTTGCGTCATGCGTTGGCTTCAACAGTTGTATCCAGAGCCGACGGTCCAGTAGAAATGGCAAACTACTGGACGTAAATCTGGCTAGAAAAACTACAACACATGGCGACTGCACAAAGGAAGTCAGAGAAAAGACTCGTCTTAGCAATGCAGAGAGTAAACAGCACGAAAATCCTTTGGCAGAGCACATGTATAACTGTTGAGATCTTATATTTTCCCGTGGCAACTTCTGGATGTAAGTCACTAAATTTTATTGAAATGCTACAGGTCCAGTAAAAAAAAAAAAAACTTGAACCAGAAAAGAAGAAAAACACGGACATCCTCTACATGATTTGAGCATCGCGGAGAACTGGCTCATAAACAGCATCCTGTCTGGAAAGTATTGTGTCCATGTTAAGCGCCATGGTAGGTTTCAGGCTAACGGGGTAATGGCTGGCATGGAAGGAGACAGGCACCGACTGGGTCAGTGTTTTTCCTTCCCGTCCACGCGACAGGCCTAGCAAGATGACAGTGGTGTAATCAACCGCTACCACACAAGAAAGAATACTGCAATTATAGGACAATGAATAGAGCACTATAACAAACAAACATAATAATAATAATAATAACTCCATGTGAAAGGCGTTATCTCTGTCAGGTCATTTATAACACAAGAAGGGACAGGATTGTGAATGCCAACATTAAAGATAAAGTTGGAATAAGACCGCATCTGAATCATATTGACAGGAAAGAATGAACTGGCTTGGCCACGTGGTGGGAATGCAGCCAGACCAAACTCCGTCCGTCCGTCCATCTATCCATCCATCCATGCATCCATCCATCCATCAAGCACTCTATCCATCCATCCATGCATCTAGCCTTCTATCCATCCCTCCATCCATCCATCTATATATGTATTCATCCATCCATCCATCTGTGCGTCCGTTTATCAATCGATCCATCCATCAATCTATCCATCCATCCATTAATCCATCCATCCATTAATCCATCCATTCATTCATCCATCCATTCATTCATCTATCCCTTTATTCATCCATCCATCCGTCTGTCCTGCCATCCGACCGTCCGTCCATCAATCCATCCATCCATCCGTCTATCCATTCATCCATCCAATAATCCATCTATTCATTCATCCATCCATTCATCTATCCATACATACATACGTACGTGCATGCACGCCTACATTCATACAAATGTGCACGGACTTCTACGCGAAATAGTTATACGCATACTACGATGAAGATGATACTGTTTGAATGAAAGCGATCCTTCACAAATCAATCAACCACGCGATGCCAATTTTCCGCCCCTTGTTGTCACCGCCTCAACCCCGTTGTGTACACTTTGCAAAATATGATCGTGAAATCAATAGACGAAGATCTTGTCAAACAGAATCAACATCCCCGGCTAGTTTTCTAGACTGTTCCTGCAATCAGAAGACAGAGATGATTGTGTAACCATGAACAGGTGAGTGAAGTAAACAGTCCAGGACACGACTGTGTAACCATGAACAGGTGAGTGAAGTAAACAGTCCAGGACACGACCGTGTAAACATGAACAGCTGAGAAAAGTAAACAGTTCAGGGGAGGACTGTGTAAATATAAATAGCTGAGAGAAGTAAACAGTCCAAATGTTATTTACAGTCCGTCCATATCATGTACTGTTTGTTCATGTTGTGGCCCTTATAGATGACAGGGTCCACACATTCCTCGCTGCACTGCTCTCAAATAATGTATAGCGGCTAAGAAAAGTCAACAGATGTAAGGTCAGATGTAGAGAAGCCTGTTTAGAAATTACACAAATATATGTACATGATATTGACAAATAAAGAGATGGAAATTTTCTTTTTTGAGTAAACAAACAACTGTCTATATAACGTCAGCTAAACTGTCAACTGTCGGCGTCTGTGGCTTATGCGCTACGAACGTGCTCCGTAATGCCGTGGCAGCCGGGTTCGATCCCTGCTGCGGATGATTTGTCTTGCGCTGGTTTCGACAATGGTATCAAGGGGGTGACCGTTCAGCGGCAATGGCAAACTACTGAATGTAAAATCTGCCTAGAAAAACCACAACAGCCAATAAATGCTGGAGTAGGTTCTGCTAAGTCCTGTACAGGATACTCAACTTGTTGATACTGTCAAATGAGAGCAGCCATAGTGCAGAGGCTAGACTCACGCCTGCGGATCAGTAGGTTGTAGGTTCAGGTCGTGATGGAGCTGGATTACCCCCCCCCCCCCCCCCTCCCCACCCAGAATGACCTTGGCTCCCAGGTCGATCAGCCTTAAATTAGTGCTAGATAAAGTTCTGGGAAGCAAAGGCGGCGGCGTGATGTTGACCACATAACCTATCGAGTGCCGATTGGTCTAAAATAATTACAGGTATACGACCGAAGGCCTGAAAAGGGTCCTTTATTTACTCTCTTTTATTGTCTAATATATGTTTATACAATCTGACACAAAGTCAACAACATAGTCCCGTGGATTAGAGGTGTGTAAGTACGTTTAAGAATATAATGTTCCCCCAGTAATAGGGCATAATTTCTGGGACAAATTTGTTTATTTAAAAAAAAAAGAATACTATCCTGGTTTTCGGACAGCTGTACAAGAGTGGCACCGTGGAAGAGTTTGAGCCCTCATCAGGTAACATTCCTAAACTCAGAAGTAGGTGCACTGTAGCCAACCTTCGTTGTAGAGACGGCACACAATGTTTAAAAAAAAAACTAATATCACGAAGAATCTAGAAATTGATTACTACAGTCATTTCCTCTACATAATATGGTAGAGAAAGATCTCTTTAAACAAAAACAGTTTTTTTTAAAAGTATCAGCTGACTTACAAGACACGATTGAACGGTTTATACAGACAGACATGTAAGCTGACACTGCCATACAGACAGACATGTCAGCTGAAACTGCCATACAGACAGACATGTCAGCTGACACTGCCATACAGACAGACATGTCAGCTGACACTGCCATACAGACAGACATGTCAGCTGACACTGCCATACAGACAGACATGTCAGCTGACACTGCCATACAGACAGACATGTCAGCTGACACTGCCATACAGACAGACATGTCAGCTGACACTGCCATACAGACAGACATGTCAGCTGACACTGCCATACAGACAGACATATCAGCTGACACTGCCATACAGACAGACATGTCAGCTGACACTGCCATTCAGACAGACATGTCAGCTGACACTGCCATTCAGACAGACAAGTTGACATACAGAAGGACAGACGTGCACTGACATTCTGAAAAAAACAAACTGACAGACAAATAAGTTTACATGCTAGAAGACATGCATAAAGGCAAACAGACAGTGAAACAGACATACGTATAGACTCAAACAAACAAACAAACAGACAGACAGACAGACAGACAGACAGACAGAGGTACACATACTTGCGATGACACTCACCCCCTATGCCAGGCCTAAGCTCCTTGTTGTAGCCAGCCAGTAGGTTGTCCAGCACCTCAGAGACAGCCTTGGTTTTTGGCACCTCGTAGCTGCTGCATCTAGACATTGTAAGACACACACAAGGTTAGGTGACTGTAGCGGACAGAATCAACATTGGTACAGTATCATACTACAGACACAGTTTGGCTAACATAAGCCACAAGAACTAAGCTAATTTACCTGCGTTCATTGATCTATCCATGTGAGTCGTGGACTATCTCCCAGTCCTTAAGAAAGGGCATAGGGGCTTTTGAGCTGAAATGCTATAGAAAGATTCTCAGAATATTTTGGACAAAAAAAAAAAAAAAAAAAAGAAGAGACGAAATACTGATATCTTGAAACATTTGAACATCAAGGAAGATTGGCTAATAAACAGAATCCTGTCTCGGAAGCTGAAATATTTTGGTCAAATCAAGCGCCACGACGAATTGGAAAATAAAGGAGGGGCAGGGGCCGACCAACACGAAGATGGGCACATGATATAAGTGACTCACTGAGTATGAAAGTACATAAGGTTTGAGAGCTGGCGTGAGACCGAGTTTATTTTAGGCAGACCGTGATGAGAGCGACGTTCTGCAAAGGACCTGCAACACGATGATGATGAATAAATCTATGCTAGTTCATGCTTAATGGCGTTGGTTTCCTGTCTTTCCGCCGTCAAACAGTCACTTCTATCCGCCTCAATGTGGAACGCATTTGGGGGGAGCCTTAAAGCCCCACCCCGACTGTTGTAGGAGGGCCTTAATTATAACCTGCGGGTTGATCGGGGTTTCTGAGACTTGTACACAGGTGATTCTTGTCAGAATGGTAACTTTTGTGTCAGGGGGTGTTTATCGCTTGATCGGTCCTGAATTAGAGGGGAGGGGGGGGGGGCCTTAGCAGTCGGTCTTTCAGCAGCATTCTACCTTGTGTGCTTTTTACAATTTCTAGCACATATAATCCTCTATACTACGATTCAAAATTGTTCAACACCTTCTTTCTTATTCTTCCTCCACCTCTCGACCCCTCTGGTCTACCATCGTCTTTCTTGGTCTTTCTCCACCTCTCGTCCCCTCTGGTCAACCATCGTCTATCTTGTTCTTCCTCCACTTCTCGTCCCCTACGGTCAACCATCGTCTATCTTAGTTTTCTTTCACCTTTCGTCCCCTCTATCCACCATCTTCTTTCTTGGTATTTCTCCATTTATTTTCCCACCCAACTTTCCCCCTTGAGTTATAAGTTAAGAAATTACACTATAGTACTCGGGACATTCTCACAAGCTCTCCGTTCCCCATCTTAAGCAGCAAGGGCAAAGTTATCATTCTGATGGAACCGTTAACTTTTCCCCTATCACCTCTATTTACTCCATTTCCTCCTTCTCACAATGTGACCAAAAATTATAGACTGGCTCCTTCTGATAAAGGTAATAGGTCTTTTTTGGTGAATTAATTTTTGTCTAGCGGTCTTCTGTTTTCCACTCCGCGCTTCTACCTGAAGATTTGATCCTACTTATCGCTCGTCTTATATCTTGGGATGTAGAGGTTTTGCGAGAGAGACCGCCATACTTCTCCATCAGTTTTTTTTTCTTTATTCTTTTCTGGTCCTGTGCCAGTCAAGGGTTGTCAGGTGTTGTGTACCCATTGAATACTAGGTCGTCCTGCTGGTCTAGTTCCTTGTTTCTTGTCTGTCCTTGCCTGCGACGGTGGCCGCTTCTCTTCTATTCTGCACATGCGTCAAAACCATCATAAGTAGGACTCATCTACTTAATCAGGCCTGCGTTTTAAGGTCATGACGTACTGTCTGAGTGTCCTGGCCACAAGACAGCTAGCACCTCCATTGGCTATCTCAGTAGGGACACCACTGTAGAACAGCATATAACCGTCACATTCAGGTCTGGTGGCTCCTGAGAATTTCAGAATCCCATCCTGGGTTGCTAACGGACAGGACATCTCCCAGACACCAGTAACGGCACCAGTAACGGCACCAGTAACGGCACCAGTAACGGCACCAGTAACGGCACCAGTAACGGCACCAGTAACGGCACCAGTAACGGCACCAGTAACGGCACCAGTAACGGCACCAGTAACGGCACCAGTAACGGCACCAGTAACGGCACCAGTAACGGCACCAGTAACGGCACCAGTAACGGCACCAGTAACGGCACCAGTAACGGCACCAGTAACGGCACCAGTAACGGCACCAGTAACGGCACCAGTAACGGCACCAGTAACGGCACCAGTAACGGCACCAGTAACGGCACCAGTAACGGCACCAGTAACGGCACCAGTAACGGCACCAGTAACGGCACCAGTAACGGCACCAGTAACGGCACCAGTAACGGCACCAGTAACGGCACCAGTAACGGCACCTGTAACGGCACCAGTAACGACACCAGTAACGGCACCAGTAACGGCACCAGTAACGGCACCAGTAACGGCACCTGTAACGGCACCAGTAACGGCACCAGTAACGGCACCAGTAACGGCACCAGTAACGGCACCAGTAACGGCACCAGTAACGGCACCAGTAACGGCACCAGTAACGGCACCTGTAACGGCACCTGTAACGGCACCTGTAACGGCACCAGTAACGGCACCAGTAACGGCACCAGTAACGGCACCTGTAAGGGCTACACCAGCTTGGTGTGCGGGTGAGTGTTTCTCAAGACATCTTCATCAGACTTTCTCTACTGTCCCAGGTGATCTCTTCACTCCTCAGTCAATGCTCATCTCGGCATCTCTCACATAATGTTTAATTATTCAGTGGCTGTCCGTGACTCACTTCCTTGCACCAGGACAGCCCAGGGGTACCGCCAGCGACTCAACCACCCCGATATCAAGGGAAGGGGTGGGGGTGGCTGGTGGAGACTGAGGACCCACAAAAAAAAAAAAAACCTATCAGCTTAGCTGCCCCCCCCCCCCCCCCAACCATGTCACCAATTTCTTTCCTTTTGTAAAATGTGTTTAAACACACACACACTCACTCACTCACACACACACTCACACGCACACACTCACACACACACTCACACACACACTCACACACACACACACTCACACACACTGTATTGTAAGTACTTTAGGTAGGCTAAGACCCGTTGAGATCAGCCTGCCATAAACAATTTGTAAAGGGGCTGAGCCCACCCGCCCCCTTCCTCCAATTAAAGATGTGTCTGTGTGCCTTGGCCCCTGCTACGTCCATGTCCATGGTGACTTCAATGCCCTGTAGCCACCGCCATTAATCAACACTTGTTGGATTTGTCACGTGACTAGGCCATAAACGTGGATGAGATTTGGAACCAAGATTAGGTATCGTTAATTGTGCTTGGGGCACAGAGCAAATGACTGCGTGCCTGCCAGTAACAAGAGCATTTGTTAGGATAAAACGCAAGGATTCGACAAGAAATGTCATAGTTGGCAAGGATTACGCAAGAATGTCACAGGTTCAGAAATTTCCTCCATGTAAAAGAAAAACATCCTGCCGCTTGCCTTGCGCTCTGGAGATCGTGGGCCCGTTTCACGGCTTCGTGTTTGGATTCAGGAGCGTAGTTTTTTACAGAGGTCCATATGATCGTTGCCGGAACTGTGAAAATCGGATTTTATGCGACCCTCTTCAGGCAATTAGTCGTTTTGCAGAGAGAGGCCGAACCAAATCATAAAACCCGGTGCCAGTTCATCCTCTCGATCTTCACAGCTGTGGTAGTGACAGTTGTGAGGCAAGCCATTGTTGATTTAGGTTAACTTACTGACCTCCGGTCATCAATATCCTGGGTACCAGGTACAGTTCTGGGAAGTAAAGGCGGCCGGTGTGAGTTGACCACATCACCCACTGAATGCCGATCGGTCTATAATATATAGGTCTAGTCCGTCTTCAGCTTTTCCATGCTGTCTCAATTGTTTTCAAGTGGTACGTTAGCTTATGTTATTGAAATATTTAATTTGGTCTCATGTTTGTTTCAACTTAGACTAGATTTCAGTAATCCAAACCGGCTATTTTCGAAAGCTGTACTTTTATTTCAATCTGTCCACTTTCAACATTCACACATCTATACACAAATGGCACTACAACCTCGGCACCCACTCAGAACGGGCGATTTTACAGCAGATACTCCAAACATGAATTTGACGGATTATGTCTAGTGTGATATCTACTAAGGATGAATGTAAAATGCTTCAACACGAGAAGTTATTGAAGAAGTCTGTAGAAGTATAAAAAGCCTTTTCTGTATGTGATTTCTTTTGCTATCCTGGTCGCCCCTATACTTGGAACATTTGAAATAAAAACAGGTGTCGCCTCTCCTATTTTTACTGGATATATACTGGATTATGAAGACATTAATTGCTAACACCAAGAATAGAATTCAGTGGACGCCTACAAAACAGCTTAATGATCTGGACTTCGCTGATAATATTTCTCTTCTGTCCCATTTACGGAATCAGATGCAAGACGAATTAAATATACTTGATGTGAGATCACAGCAGCTAGGTCTGAAAATCCATAAAGAAAAGTCAAAGATAATGAGAAAAAATTAGGCAAATAGTAATGTGGCTTCATTTAATGGCACCCGACTCCAAGACGTGGAGTCGTACACCTATTTGGGCACTAATGAAGATAAAGATGTGGGAACTGATACAGACATTACAATAAGAATACAAAAGGCAAGACAAGCCTTCATAGCACTGGGGAATTTGTAGAGGTCAACAGAAATTAAAATATATACTAAACCTAAAATGTTTAATTCTAATGTCAAACCAGTACTTGTGTATGGTGCGGAAACATGGAGAACAACTAAGGCAGTTCCTAATAAACTGCAGACATTCATAAACTGCAGACATTCATTAACTAGTGCCCGCGCAGAATAGAGGGAATTAAATGGTATAATAGAATAACTAATGTAGAGCTTTAGAAGATAATTAAGCAAGCTCCAGTGGACCAAGAGGTGAGGAACAGACTTTGGATAGGACACACATTGAGAAAACCGGAGAACAGCATAACTAGAATGTTTTTGCACTAGAACCCACAGAGGCAAAGGAATAAAGGAAGGCCAAAAAACACACCGAGAAGAAAGCTGGAAATTAAA